GGGAGAGGGGGGAGGAAAAGGGGGGCATGGCAGAGGGCATCTGACTGTCGTTAATGACCGGACGCACCCCCTGAAGAGAGAGAGAGGGGGCGACAGGGGGCATGGCAGAGGGCATTTGGCTGTCGTTAATCACCGGACGCACCCCTTGGAGAGAGAGAGAGAGAGAGAGAGAGAGAGAGAGAGAGAGAGAGAGAGAGAGAGAGAGAGAGAGAGAGATGGGAAGAGGGAAGAGCAGCAAGAGAACGGGAGGAGTGAGGGAGGAAGAGATGTCGAGAAGGACAGGGCAGAGAGAGGTCCCAGTGGGATAGTAATCTTGGGGCCAGTATCTTCTCTTTGCATGTAGGCACGCCCGTACTCACTCCTGTCCCGCCCTAGATAATTGGAATTAAAAACAAAAAAGATGGTGACGAAATATTGATTGTGTGACATGGGACCTCGCTCCACTACGCACCACTTGCACAAAAGACAAAAAATATGGGCGATAGATTTACCCATGTTTTTGCGGAAAATTCATTCTCATTTTGCACATTTGGTGAGCAGTGCAGCGATGCCCATTACTACGTCCTTCGAGCGCCTCTTCTGTATCATGGACCTTTATCTTTGTGTGTGTGTAGTCAGTCGTATGCTGTCGTCTCTTCACGTCTGGAGTCTCTAATTGGTCCTCCCCCTGTCACTCTATTTTTTTTAATTTTTTTTTAATTTTATTTTCAATCTCCATTTTACTGGTGGAAATGTTGCCAGACCGGTTGCATCCCTCCTCGCTTGTTCGATCTTTCGCGCGTGCCGGCGTTGCTGACGTCAACATCAAATGCTTGTCAGCTCTGTGTCGGAATCAAGTGCAGAGTCGATGACGTCATGTGAAATATGTAGGGCCTCACCACACACCACTAACGAATGAAAAAATGTGAGTGCATCTTCCCGCAGAAGGTGACAAGATACATCCGCGTTACTATTCATGGTAACCGATGAATCTTTCCACTTTCTTTGGGAGGATGCACTCGCATTTTTCTCTTTGCGTGAGTGGTGTGGCAAGGCCCTTGATCTGGCTACGATGTTTGTCAATCCCGCACCCAATCCAATCCTCTCAGTGGAACCTTCTTCCATTCGTCAAGATGGGCAATGGATTGATTATATAATCGGAGAATACCGTACGGTCATTGATTATATAATCGGAGAATACCGTACGGTCATTGATTATGTAATCGGAGAATA